CGGTCGGGGGGCGCGTTGTCGGCGAGCGCCCCGCGGGCTCGGAGGAGCAATGCTTTGTGGTGCAGAGTGCCGCGAGTGTCGATCCTAGCCGCAGGGGAGAATATGGCGTTTTTTCTGCATATTTGCACGTGCGGGTTTCTTGACACGAGTTTCATTGATTGCCCCAAGTGCTCCGCAGCCTCGCTCATAGCATAGTGCAACATGGCGCTGTAGCGCTGCATTTATCCTGGCCCATAGCTTGGCGACAGATCACCGGTCGACCGGTCGATGAGAGCGGAGGAGGAGGAATAAGGAAGGGGCAGAAGGAAACATATGATGTTGACCTGCATTTGCATCTAAGGGGTAAATCGACCAGCAGGGCCCAGGCCACGCCAGTGGGGATAGGGATCGGTTAAACGATGCTCAGTTTGCCTCCTCCTGCTGCTCCTCGAGCCGACGGTCGGGGGGCGCGTTGTCGGCGCGCGCCCCGCGGGCTCGGAGGAGCAATGCTTTGTGGTGCAGAGTGCCGCGAGTGTCGATCCTAGCCGCAGGGGAGAATATGGCGTTTTTTCTGCATATTTGCACGTGCGGGTTCCTTGACACGAGTTTCATTGATTGCCCCAAGTGCTCCGCAGCCACGCTCATAGCATAATGCACAATGGCGCTGTAGCGCTGTATTCTTCCTGGCCCATAGCTTGGCGACAGATCGCCGGTCGACCAGTTAAGCGCGCGCGAAGAGCATGCGTGGTTCTAGGGTCCCGGGGCCCCCAAAGTGCACTGATGTGTTTTCCGGCCCTTTCGGGCCCAGCGAAGGGCGCCAAAAAACATCAAAGGGGGCCGAGAGACGTTCAAGAGGGCGCCAAGATGGCCCAAGAGCGCTCCAAGAGAGCCCAAGACTGCACGAGAGCGTTTGAACATGTGTCCAAGAGGCCTCCAAGAGGGCCCAAGAGAGCTCCGAGAGACGTCCCGAGAGAGCCCGAAGAGGCCCAAATCATTGATGTGCATTGGTTTGTTCGATGATTTTCGCTTTCTCGCGTCCTTGAGCTTCCAATGTTCGAAGAAGGTCGAAGACGCCCTCAAGACCGCCTCAAGACCGTCGAAGACGCCCCAAAAGAGCGCCAAGACGGCTCCAGAGAACCTGCAAATTGCACACGAGGAACCCCAGACGGCCCAAGAGGCTCCAGGATAGGCCCAAAATGGACCACAGAGCGGGAGCGGGAGGCCCCAGGGCGCTCGAAGACGGCCCAGATGGCCCGGGCCTCCCCTTTCTGCCCCTCCTTCCCTCCCACCCCCTCCTCCATTACCTCCTCTCTCCTCTTCTTCCCCTCCCCCTCAGTTTTCGTGCTTCTCCCTCCTCTCCTGGGACGGCCCCGCCAGAGCGCCAGACAGGCCCCGCCTGAGCGAGCGGGGCATCGCTATACCCTATCATTTCACAAGTTCCTTTGCCCGTCACACCCCTCAAGGGCGGCCCCGGCAGAGCGAGAGGGGTGTTGCTATAGCATATACAGTCCCTGTTACGTTTTGCTCTTCCCACCGCACCCGAAGTAGTTCCGTTAGAGCGCACGGGATGTGGTTATACCATAGTTTTCCTCAGGTTCCGTGCTCTTCCCTCCCCTCCTGGGCAAGCCCCGCCAGAGCGCCAGGGAAACCCCCGTTAGAGAGAGCAGGACATCCCTACACCATACTCTTTCACGCGGCTTTTGCTCCTCCCACCCTTGCAAGGCGGACCCGCCCGAGCGAGCGGGGTGTGGCTATACCATACAATAGTTTAGGTTTCGTGCCCCTCCCCCACCTCCTGAAAGGCCTCGCCAGAGCGCGAAGAAGGTACCGCCAGAGGCCCCGTCAGAGCTCCACGCAACCACATACATGGGACTTGCCAGGCAAATCATTGAGCATCCCCCGTGACCCCGAGCCTTCTGTTCCCACGGGTGCGATTATCGCCGGCATGAGGTTTGGCGTCCAGCACAAAGAAGTTTCCCCACTCCCGTGGACGGACTCGACAGCAACTGATTGCAGAGAAGGGCGCAGATGACGAGGGCATCTGCGCGCGCCCTCTGCAAATATCCGACAGCTGAACGACCGCTGTGAACGAGAAGCTTGGAGCACAAGGAAGAGGAAAATAACAACGCGCTCCCACGCGTGCGCAACGAGGCCCCGAGCCAACCCCAACATCAGGAACCTTCAGATGTCTGCGTGATCGGGCATGGGGAGATTGAGCAGATTTGCGAAATCATTGAATGTTGCGACGGGGCAGAGCGGAAATGAAAGTGGAGAAACAAACGCAGTTCGATAAACCAAACGAAGGCGGCAGCGAGATTGTGAGGTGCGCGGGAACGTGGCGCCCCGCGTTCAGACTACGCGTTTTTTGCGTCTATGACATGGACCCGAGAACGCTGGAACTCGTCGTTGTGGCCACAGCGGGGTTTACAACGGCACCCGTGGCTCATCTGCGACTAGAACCTAAGCGCGCGCGTAGCGCGCGCGTGGTTCTAGTTTAAATATATGTCGATTGGTTTCGGCGACGATGCTGCCATCAAAGACAAGACGTGGCATGGAGGCAATTACATTGTCTTTCAAGGGTGGAGTCAACAGGAGGGCACAGCTAGGGACGGTTTACGGTCTGAGGGCAGCGAGACCAATTGGAATCAGATGAGCCTCGGCGATTTTTTTTGGAAATCCGAGCTCCAAAAAATACATCCGAATATCTTACCGCGCCGACAGAAAGATCGATTCTTCAGGTTTCCGCCACATCCGCCGACCCCTTGGATTTTCCCCGGGATCGTTCACCACAGCTTCCTTGCAAACCGTGGGAAAATGAGGCTGTTCAGGGCCCGTCACAGCGAGAAGGGGAGCCGACGTGGGTCGCAAACTGGCCCAGAGGGCTTCCAGACGGCCCAAGCGAACCCCAAGACGGCACAGGGAGGTTTTTTGGGTTGTGTTTGGGGCCTTGCACGGGTGCAGGAGCCAAGGAAGTATGTTACACCCCGGAGACATCTTACGGTTGTCGGCGGTTTCCAAGCAGGATGTCCCGCTAACTGTTAATGTTCGGGGATGTTTGGGATGACCTTGTCGATGGCAATGACGTCGTTGATGATCACGACGCTGATGACGATGATCGGCTCCCTCTCCTCCTCTCCTCCTCCCCCTGCTCCTCCCTCCTGCTCCTCTCCATGCCTCTCCTCCTCTTCCTTTTCCTGCCCTTCCTCCTCCTCCTCGTCCTCGTCCACGTCCTTCTTCCCTTCCCTTCCCCGCCGTCTTCTCCTCCTCCTTCTTGTCCTTCTCCTGCTGTTCCTCCTCCCGCCCTTCGTCCCTCTCCTCCTCCTCCTCCTCCTCCTCCCTCCTCTCTACTCCTCCTCCTCCTCCTCCCCCCCGCATTCTCCCTACTCCTTATCCCCTTTTTTTTTTTTTTTTTTTTTCCCCCCCTTTTTTTTTCCCGGCATTCTCCGCCTCTTCCTCCCCCTCTTTATCCTCTTTCTCCTCCTCCTTTATCCTCCTCCCTGCTCCTCCTCCCCCCCCCTCCTCCTCCTCCTCGTCCTCCTCCTCCTCTTCTTCCTCTTCCTCCTCGTCCTCTTCCTCCTCTTCCTCCTCCTCCTCCGTCGTCCACTCGGGCCTTGCGTCGTCCACTCGAGCCAGCCGCGCGTTTTCGCGCGTGGGAGCCGATGGCCGCTGAGGATGATCGCTGAGTGTCAAGAAGATGAGAGGACAATCGGCAGTTCGGAGCCGTTGCTGTGGATGCTGCACGGAGGCCCAGGCACAGGGAAGAGCTTTGTGGTAGAGACCTTACGGAAACGCGTGTTCGAGAGAGTCATGGGCTGGGAACACGGGCTGGACTTCCAAGTGGCTGCGTTACAAGCTACGAACGCGTCCAGTCTGGATGGTCGCACGTTGCACGCCGCGTTTGGGATGACTCCGCACGGTGCCAGCACGGAAACCAGTAAGAAGCGCGGAGAGCCGGGTGCAAATAAAGTAGAAGCAGCGAAGCGAATTCAACAGTGGCGTTGGCTCATCATCGACGAAATCAGTATGGTCAGTGCAAATTTTCTTGCAGAGCTGGATGCGCATTTGCGGTCAGTCATGTCGGCAGCGAGGCAAGGGAAGATGGGTGCCGATAAGGTAGACCGTCCGTTTGGATGTGTCAATGTGTTATTCTGCGGAGATTTCTACCAGTTGGAACCTCCCGGCGGATATCCATTGAATGCGATTCCGACGTCGTGGGCGCGGAAGGCGAGGCAGTATGCGCCAGGCGCCGAAGAAGATCATGGTCAATACATCTTCTGGGGCGACGGGCCAGGGCCCGTGGCGGGGATGACGGATTTGGTAGAGTGCAAGCGCTTGGAAGAGAAGGACGAGTGGTTCCTGGGAGTACAAGATGAGTTCCGACGGGGAGCTCTGACTGAGAGGACGCACCAGTTTCTGCGCGGGAAACCTACAGACGTTCCAGGGTCTTGGTTGAATGAGAAGCCAATGTGGTTCGCAGGTCTGCATGCAGAACGTGGAAGCTATCGCAAAAGACAACGAGCTGGAGTGTGGACGCTATGCAGAGGCAAGAAAGCGTCGATCTCTCGTGGCCACTAGTGCCGCAGACGAACGGTTCGCACTTCCGCAATTCGTCGAAACCATTGCAATTAACCCAGTCAGGATGTGAAGTGCGAGGTAGCGCGGCAGCGGGCCGTAGACTGGGCTGCGTGCGAGAAGAAACAGATTTCGTGGGTTTGCGCGCGGGAAAAGGCAACGCACGCGACGTATCACGAAAGACCATACACCTCAGCAGACAAAGTGCGGTGGCTCGGATACCACGACAAGGCTTGTGCAGACATGCCAGGATGGTTACCGCTTGCCGTGGGCATGCCAGTTGTACTGACGGACCATTTGGACCGATCAGAGAAGCAATTGCTACGAGGGTGTCGAGCGACGATACACTCATGGGTGGTAGATGAAGAAGAAGAAGACGTGCAGGACATGTCACGAGGTTGCTGTTACAGAAGTTGCGGGGGGAAGCGTTGCCGTGGCCCGACATCGAGGAGAGGCTGATGCCGCGGAAAGCATGCGGGAAATGTCAGAAGGTGAAGGAAAAGGCTGACTTCAGCACGAATGAGTTCGGCGCGAAGTCGGGCCTGAGCTTCTGCTGCGAGCGCACGGAGATGTTGAAGGGGGCAGGGGAAAAGTGGTGCACGACTTGTGACCAATGGGCCGAGATGGTCTCCAGAGTGGCGGGGGTCGAGTCCGAAAGGGCCAGAGTGTTCGTGCGGACAAGCAAATGCGACAGGTGCGCAGGGCCACCAGCCCGGAGGAAGTCGCGGAAAGAGTCTCAGGGGTGGCAGCAGAATGTACGAGACAAATTCAAGATCCATGGCGCTGAATGCTGTGAATTCGCGAAGACGGAGGCAGACATTACGGCGAACCAGTACGCTACGAAGGGCGCAGGGGAGAAGCTCTGCAAGAAGTGCGCAGGGAAGAGGAAAGGCGGATGGAACAAGTGGAGCCAATCGCAGAAGAAAACGGAGTGGATGAATGCAACGAACACTGCTCGACAAAGCGCGCGCCAGGAACAGCCGCTGAGGCGTTCGGAGTGCCCGACAGACACAGACGGAAGAGGGCGGGAATTCACGGACGCGGCGCATCTGACAACAGAACAAGTCAACCACTATTATACAACGGGCGCAGCCCATAGGCCAGTGAAATGCCGCGACTGCGACGCGCATCACGAGCGATCGCGGGTGTTCAGGTGCTCCGCGTGCCCGAAAGAAACAGATGGGAAAGCGAGAATTCACGGACAGGACGCACCTAACAGATAAGCAAGCGAAGCATTTCTTCGCGAAGGGTTCGGACCATCGCCCAGTCAAGTGCCGCGCGTGCCAGGAAGAACGCAATCAGCCGCGAGCGCTCGCGTGCTCCGCGTGCCCGAAAGAAGCAGATGGGAAAGAGCGAGAATTCACGGACAGGACGCATCTGACAGATAAGCAGGTGGGGCACTTCTGCGCGATGGGCACGGAGCATCGCTCGGTGGTGTGCCGGGCGCGCCACGGGCAAAGGCAGGTGGCGAAGAAGTTGGAATGTTCCGCATGCCCCCTGAAGAAGGACGGATCAAAGCCTACGTTCACTGACGGCGGCCATCTGTCGATAGCCCAGAAGAAGAATTATTTCCACCGAGGCGCTCTGGTGGTTTGCGCCAAGTGCTATATGGCGGGGCGGGCGCCGCGGAAAGACCCGCCGAAACGCCCTGCGGAGGCAAGTGACGAGCGCGGCGGGAAGCAGCGCAAGTTGCGAGGAGTCTAACCGCGAGTCGCGCGCGCGTCGTCTTCGGAGCTCTCTTGGGCCGTCCTCGGCCTCTCTGGGCCCGTCTTGGCGCCCTCTTTGGCCTGTCGCGGGGCCCTCGTGGAGGCTTCTTGGACCGTCTTGGTGCGGTCTTGGGAGGCTCTCGGGCCGCCCCGGAGCGCCCCGGAAGGCGCGCGCACGAAAAATGACACGTTTTACGAAGAGAACGGGCGATTTTATACAGCGAGAGGCCCTCCATGGGGCGCATAGTGAAAGCCTCGTGGGGCGTCTTGGGGGGCCTCTGCAGCCGTCGGGAGGCCGTCGTCAGCGTTTTGGATCGCTCTTGGACCGTCGAGGACCATGTGGAGCTCTCGTCGAGGCCGCTCGGGCCGCTCCTGGAGCGCTCTCGGAGCCGTTTTCGGAGCCCTTTTGGGTTGTGTTGGACGTGTGTTGGCGCGTCTTTGGGCCCTCGAGGGCTCTGTGGGGACCCTCTTGGGGGCGTCTTGGGCCGTCTGGGAGCGTGTTTGGGCGGCTCTGGGGCCGTCCAGGAGCGGGGGGCACCCCAAAAGGCGCACGTGTGAAACAATATACGTTTGACGAAGGAAACGAAGGATTTTTTGCGTCTAGAGGCCCTCTTGGGGCGCATCGTGGATGCCTCTTGGGGCGTCTTGGGGGCCTCTTCAGCCGTTTGGAGGCCGTCGTCAGCGTTTTTGATGTCCTTGGACGGTCGAGGACCATGTGGAGGTCTCTTCGAGGCCACTCGGACCGCTCCTGGAGCGCTCTCGGGGCCGTTTTCGGAGCCCTTCTGGGCCGTCTTGGACGTTAGTTGGCCCGTCTTGGGGCCCTCGAGGGCTATGTGCGGACCCTCTTGGAGGCGTCTTGGACCGTCTGAGAGCGGGTTTGGGGGGCCCTGGGGCCGTGCAGGAGCGGGGGTCACCCTCAAAGGCGTACGTGTGAAAAGTATACGTTTTACAAAGGGAACGAGCAACTTTTTTGCGTCTAGAGGGCCTCTTGGGGGGAATCTTGGGCGCCTGTGGGGGCGTCTGGGGAGGCCTCGTGAGCCGTCGGGAGGTCGTCGTCGATGTTTCTGATCGCTCTTGGACCGTCGAGGACCATGTGGAGCTTCGGGGAGGCAGCTCGGAGCGCTCCTGGAACGCTCTTGGGGCCGTTTTCGGAGCCCTCTTGGGCCGTCTTGGACGCCTGTTGGCCCATTTTGGGCCCTCTAGGGGTCTGTGGGGGACCCTCTGCGAGGCTTCTGGGGCCGTCTGGGAGCGGGTTTGGGAGCTTCTTGGGCCGTCGGGGAGCATCGGAAAGATCCAAAGCTGAATTTCTAAAAAATGTACATTTCATAATGGGAATGACCCCATTTGGGCGTCTAGGGACCCTTGTGGAACGCATCTCGGAGGCCCTCGGGGGAGCTCGTGGGGACCTCTTCTGCCGTCGAGGACGCCTCGTGGCCCGTCTTCGGGCAAACTTGGACGTCTTGGAGCGCTCGTGGGGCGTCCCAAACCAATTTCGAGGCCACCAGACGCGTCCCTACACGAATTTCAAGTGTTTTTTCCACGTTTTTCGGGAGCGGATGACTCCTCCGGGGGGTTCCGGGCCGTCCGGGGCCGTAGGCCACCAGACGCGTCCCTACACGAATGTCGTGTGTCTTTTCGATGTTTTTCGGGAGCGGATGAGACCTCCGGGGGATTCCGGGCCGTCCGGGGCCGTCCGACCGGACCCCCCCCCCCTCCAAATGGACCGGACCGGGCTCCCGGGGGAGGGGTTTGGGGAGGGGGAACATCTCACGCGCCGATCGACGTCTTGGGGCCCTCGAGGGCTATGTACGGACCCTCTTGGAGGCGTCTTGGACCGTCTGGGAGCGGATTTGGGGGGCTCTGGGGCCGTGCAGGAGCGGGGGTCACCCCCAAAGGCGCACGTGTGAAAAAATATACGTTTTACAAAGGAAACGAGCAACTTGTTTGCGTCTAGAGGGCCTCTTGGGGGAATATTGGATGCCTGTGGGGGCGTCTGGGGAGGCCTCGTGAGCCGTCGGGAGGTCGTCGTCGATGTTTCTGATCGCTCTTGGACCGTTTGGGACCATGTGGAGTTTCGGGGTAGCAGCTCGGAGCGCTCCTGGAACGCTCTTGGGGCCGTTTTCGGAGCCCTCTTGGGCCGTGTTGGACGCCTGTTGGCCCATCTTGGGCCCTCTAGGGGTCTGTGGGGGACCCTCTGCGAGCCTTCTGGGGCCGTCCGGGAGCGGGTTTGGGAGCCTCTTGGGCCGTCGGGGAGCATCGGAAAGATCCAAAGCTGAATTTCTAAAAAATGTACATTTCACAATGGGAATGGCCCAATTTTGGCGTCTAGGGACCCTTGTGGAACGCATCTCGGAGGCCCTCGGGGGAGCTCGTGGGGACCTTCTGCCGTCGAGGACGCCTCGTGGCCCGTCTTCGGGCAAACTTGGACGTCTTGGAGCGCTCGTGGGGCGTCCCAAACCCATTTCGAGGCCACCAGACGCGTCCCTACACGAATTTCAAGTGTTTTTCCACGTTTTTCGGGAGCGGATGAGACCTCGGGGGGGTTCCGGGCCGTCCGGCCGGACCCCCCCCCCCCTCCAAATGGACCGGACCGGGCTCCCGGGGGAGGGGTTTGGGGAGGGGGAACATCTCACACGCCGATGAATCCCAAGGGGTCGGCGGATTTCCAGATCTTGTCTGCGGGCAGATCTCATGTGCTTTTCAGCAGAGTCTATTGGGTCCCCGATAATGTGGGCTGGCCAGAGAACGTACTTGATGAGGACCGGTCTCTTGTGCAGTTTACGGTGGGGCGAGGGGTGACCACGTGGTCGGAACTAAGCGTAGAGCACAGCGGCACTTGCCCGAGCCCGCCAACGCCAGCTCCGACGCCAGCCGCGACTTCGGAGGCAACGCCACCTCCAGCGGGTGGGGCAGGTGCTGGAGCTTCTGCCGTTGGCGACCCTCACTTGCAAAACATCCATGGCGAGCGGTTCGACCTGATGAAGGCAGGCAAGCATGTTCTGTTAAATATCCCCCGTGGAACGGGTGCTGAGAGCTCCTTGCTTCGTGTGCAGGCCGACGCGCGTCGATTGGGTGGACATTGCGTCACCTTGGGTTATTCTGCAGAGCCGGATTTTTCTGGCCTCCGCGCCTTTTGTCGTTGAGTCGGCCGCAGCATCGCCGCGGCAAATGGGAGAACATGTTAAATAGGGACTCGTGCTTGAAAGAAATATATGAGGCCCCATGAAAGCCCGCGCGGCCCGACGTAGAAGAAGTAGCGCCAGCTTCGGTAAACTCGCAAGGCAGGCCACGTCGTGCACGTGTTCGACATGCGCGACCCAGTCCAGCGCAACGAAGTCCAGGTAAATGCAGCCCCGCGCGTTGCAACAAGCTCGCTTTAAATCGCAGCCCATCGAAGCCCAGTCCACTTCGGTTTTGCGTTGTCATCGAGCGGCGCACCAGTCCTGCGAAGCCTCAGCCGGCCCGACCTAGCACAGCTTGGCCCGATACCTTATCAGAGGGAAGTTCGATCCATTTATGCTTCAAGCGGCCGCGGTCGAATCACGGCGGACGTAGTCTCACCGTTCAGGACCTTGTGCTGCGTGAAGTCTGGCGTGTTTTGAGTGTACAATGGTGTTCGCTCCCGTGCCATTTGTGTTTTTTTGTGCCTTGCTGGTGATATGGTTTGCCAAGAGGTGTCGTTCGATCATAAGAAGTTGTCTGGGCGCGCTTCAGCCGTTATGTTGCCCCTCCTCTTTCTTCCCTTCCCCGGGCCCCCATGCGTTGAAGTTCGATTCGCGTGGTTGCGCGGCTTCGTGCAGATGTGCCAGAAGACGCCCCGGGGCGGTGAAAAAATGCGCGTTCGTTTGCGTGTCCTCACCCTCGACTTCCTCGACTCTCCCTGTTTCCGTCGGCGCGGCTCAGGTGTCGCTTCGTTATCAGAGGAGACCAAACTCCCTGCGTCGGCCCGCCTTTCTGCCTACTGCAGGCCGATGAGGCCCGAGAGGAGTTCGATCGGCACGGCCCGCCGACGGGGGGGTTCGGCGCCCGCTGCGACGCGCGCGCGATTGCCAGACCAGCGGGAATCACCGCGCACCTCTCGCGTGACATAACGAGTCCGTCGTCGCGGTTTTTGCGCCCGCCCGCCCCGCGCTGACGCGCTGCAACAGTTGAAATGCTACGCCGG